CTCTTCAGCATTGACCTTTTCCTTATTTTTTAAAAGGAAAAATCACAACCAACCTATGAAACAACCTAACTTAAGAAACGGCAGCATGGTATCTAAGTAGCATCAGAAACAACCTCCTGCCCTTATACAGTGCCCCTCCCCCTTGTCTTATCATCGTATATCCCTTTCAGTGCACCTTGTCTGCAGGCCTCCCAACAAAAGAACCTGTTTTTATTTCTCTGTCAAGTTCCCTGGGCCTGTAGGTAACAGCTTTATCACTGCAGGTCCCTTGTTAAACATTTAGAACCAGGAGAAGTTTCCGAATAGAACTGAATTCAAGCCCTCACTGCAAAATGGCTTTGGGAGTCTGTTTCATAGTAGGCATTGAATTTAGAAAAAAAAAAAAAGAAAATAAAACCCCAAATCAGAGCACAAGCCTGTCACAGAGAACAAGCCCAAGCTTTTTACCAGAAAGAGATATTTCCATGAATTTAAATCCTTGCACCAGGCACACTGCTGGTGAGAAAAACAGCTCCCTGAATGTAAGCGAGGGGCTCTGCTCTGGGCACACCGAGCTAATTGTTGGAGGCAGGTTGTAAAGCAGTGGGTCTCAAACTTCTTTTGTACCAGGACCCATTTGTAATCACCAGTGGCCAGTCCTAACCCAGGGCCCCTTACTTCTGGCCCACTCCGCCTGCCCCCAGTGTGCTGGGGACCCAAGCAGCCCCTTGCAGGCTGGGCCTCAGCCAGCTTGCAAGGGAAAATCCGGGCTCCCCGGTGCGTTTTTTCTTTGAAAGAGAATCCACTTGAAAAGTTTGCTCGGGCCCCTTTTGTGTACAGTCCTGCAATCCAGGGTTGAGGAAGGTTGCTGTCAAGGCCCCTGATCGCCAAGCACCGTGGGAGTTTGCCCCCGAGCTGCTTCCCGGGTTCCCTCGGCTCCCCGCGCGCTGCACGCCGCGCTCCCCGGGGGCCGATGAAGCCGTGCTGGGCAGGGTTCAATCGTGTCAGCCCCTGGGCCTGGGCCTGCCACGCTCCGCTTCGCTACGGTAGAAACCCGACGGCCCGCGTGGGGCGCGCTCCCGCGCTTCGTGCCGCCGCTCGCCGTGCGTGCGTGCATGCGCGCAGCCCCGGCTGCTCCCCGCAGCGCCAGCGCGGGCCTGGAGGCTGAGTCACGTCCCGCCCGGCGGGGCCAGCCTGTGCTCAGCGCGCCGGAGGGCCGGGCTCTGCCCTGCCCTTTCCCTGCAGCTCCTGGCGGCTGCGTGCCGACTCGGCTTCCCGAGCACAGCGCTGCGGTTCCTCGCCTTGATCTCATCGCGGCTCCGCACGACACCCTCGCCCTGAACCTGACATCGCCTCGCGTGAGAGCGCGGCCCGGCCTCCGCCGCCCGCGGCCCCCCCGCATGCAAATCCCCGGGCAGGGCTCACGCAGGGGAACAGCTGTTGCGAAAGCTGGAGCTGCTGCTCTCCCGGCCCGAGGAAAGGGCTCTGCAGCGCCCGGCCCCCGCGCAGCGCACCCCGGCGTCCCGGGGGAGCCGAGCTGGCACTGCCCCCCTCGCCCCGCGGACTGCGTTTTCTAGCTGCACTCCTGGGGGGGAGCGGAGGGCTCCGCCATGCAGCTCGCCGGCTCGTAGCTCGGGCTGCTTGGCAGGGAGCTGAGGGCTCACCGAGCCCCCCCTGCTCAGGCCGGGGCTGTGCGTGCGGCACCAGCTGTCTCCGTCCCCCCCGCCGCCAGGCAGCCGCCCCCCGCGCACAGGGCGTCCTTGCGGGGGACACCTCGGATGCCAAGAGCTGCCGGGGCTCGGGCGCTGCCTCGCTGCTGCCAGCGCCGGGATTA